ATATATATATATATATATATATATATATATATATATATATAATTTTACATCAAAATATATTCAAATAATCGAGACTTTAGATAGCGGTTAAGGTGGAACCGCTATCATATGTTCACTTTTAAGAGCGGTTAACATTTTAATCGCTCTTAATTGTGAAGATATGATAGTGGTTCCACGTTAATCGCTATCTAAAGTCTCGATTATTTGAAAAAGTGATCGATCATTTGGAAAATTAATCGATCATTTGAAAAATTATATATTCTAAAATATAATTTATTTTAATTTCTATAATATATATATATATATATATAATATATATATATATATATATATAAATGAAAATAAGTTATATTGTGGAATATATATTTTATATTATAGTAATTAATATAAATTATATTTTAGAATATATATATATATATATAAATATATATATACATATATAATTTTACATCAAAATATATTCAAATAATCGAGACTTTAGATAGCGGAACCGCTATCATATGTTCACTTTTAAGAGCGGTTGCATCTTATCCGCTTTTAAATGTGAAGATATGATAGCGGTTCCACGTTAACCACTATCTAAAGTCTCGATTATTTGAAAAAGTGATCGATCATTTGGAAAAGTAATCGATCATTTGAAAAAATATATATTCTAAAATACAATTTATTTTAATTTCTATAATATATATATATATATATATATATATAAATATATATTCTAAAATATAATTTATATTAATTACTATAATATAAAATACATATTCCAAAATATAACTTATTTTCATTTATATATATATATATATATATATATATAATTGTACATCAAAATATATTCAAATAATCGAGACTTTAGATAGCGGTTAAGGTGGAACCGCTATCATATGTTCACTTTTAAGAGCGGTTAACATTTTAACCGCTCTTAAATGGGAAGATATGATAGCGGTTCCACGTCAACCGCTATCTAAAGTCTCGATTATTTGAAAAAGTGATCAATCATTTGGAAAAATAATCGATCATTTGAAAAATTATATATTCTAAAATATAATTTATTTTAATTTCTATAATATATATATATATATATATATATATATATATATATATATATTCTAAAATATAATTTATATTAATTACTATAATATAAAATATATATTTCACAATATAATTTATATTAATTACTAAAATATAAAATATATATTCCACAATATAACTTATTTTCATTTATATATATATATATATATATATATATATATATATATATATAAAATTTTACATCAAAATATATTCAAATAATCGAGACTTTAGATAGCGGTTAAGGTGGAACCGCTATCATATGTTCACTTTTAAGAGCGGTTAACATTTTAATCGCTCTTAAATGTGAAGATATGATAGTGGTTCTATGTTAATCGCTATCTAAAGTCTCGATTATTTGAAAAAGTGATCGATCATTTGAAAAATTATATATTCTAAAATATAATTTATTTTAATTTCTATAATATATATATATATATATATATATATATATATATATATAAATGAAAATAAGTTATATTGTGGAATATATATTTTATATTATAGTAATTAATATAAATTATATTTTAGAATATATATATATATATATATATATATATATACATATATAATTTTACATCAAAATATATTCAAATAATCGAGACTTTAGATAGCTGAACCGCTATCATATGTTCACTTTTAAGAGCGGTTGCATCTTATCCGCTTTTAAATGTGAAGATATGATAGCGGTTCCACATTAACCGCTATCTAAAGTCTCGATTATTTGAAAAAGTGATCGATCATTTGGAAAAGTAATCGATCATTTGATAAAATATATATTCTAAAATACAATTTATTTTAATTTCTATAATATATATATATATATATATATATATATATATATATATATATATATTGTACATCAAAATATATTCAAATAATCGAGACTTTAGATAGCGGTTAAGGTGGAACCGCTATCATATGTTCACTTTTAAGAGCGGTTAACATTTTAACCGCTCTTAAATGGGAAGATATGATAGCGGTTCCACGTTAACCGCTATCTAAAGTCTCGATTATTTGAAAAAGTGATCGATCATTTGGAAAAATAATCGATCATTTGAAAAATTATATATTCTAAAATATAATTTATTTTAATTTCTATAATACATATATATATATATAGATATTCTAAAATATAATTTATATTTATTACTATAATATAAAATATATATTCCAAAATATAACTTATTTTCATTTATATATATATATATATATATATATATATAATTTTACATCAAAATATATTCAAATAATCGAGACTTTAGATAGCGGTTAAGGTGGAACCGCTATCATAAGTTTACTTTTAAGAGCGGTTAACATCTTAACCGCTCTTAAATGTGAACATATAATACCGATTCCACGTTAACCGCTATCTAAAGTCTCGATTATTTGAAAAAGTGATTGATTATTTGTAATAGTAATCGATCATTTGAAAAATTATATATTCTAAAATATAATTTATTTTAATTTCTATAATATATATAAATGAAAATAAGTTATATTGTGGAATATATATTTTATATTATAGTAATTAATATAAATTATATTTTAGAATATATATATATATATATATTAATTTTACATCAAAATATATTCAAATAATCGAGACTTTAGATAACGGTTAAGGTAGAACCGCTATCATATGTTCACTTTTAAGAGCGGTTAACATTTTAACCTATTTTAAATGTGAAGATATGATAGTGGTTCCACGTTAACCGCTATCTAAAGTCTCGATTATTTGAAAAAGTGATCGATCATTTGGAAAAATAATCGATCAATTGAAAAATTATATATTCTAAAATATAATTTATTTTAATTTCTATAATATATATATATATACATATATATATATATATATATATATATATATATAATGAAAATAAGTTATATTGTGGAATATATATTTTATATTATAGTAATTAATATAAATTATATTTTAGAATATATATATATATATATATATAATTTTACATCAAAATATATTCAAATAATCGAGACTTTAGATAGCGGTTAACGCGAACCGCTATCATATGTTCACTTTTAAGAGCGGTTGCATCTTAACCGCTCTTAAATGTGAAGATATGATAGTGGTTCCACGTTAACCGCTATCTAAAGTCTCGATTATTTGAAAAAGTGATCGATCATTTGGAATAATAATCGATCATTTGAAAAATTATATATTCTAAAATATAATTTATTTTAATTTCTATAATATATATATATATATATATATATATATATATATATTCCAAAATATAATTTATATTAATTACTATAATATAAAATATAGTGATCAATCATTTGAAAAAATAATCGATCATTTGAAAAATTATATATTCTAAAATATAATTTATTTTAATTTCTATAATATATATATATATAATTTTACATCAAAATATATTCAAATAATCGAGACTTTAGATAGCGGTTAAGGTGGAACCGCTATCATATGTTCACTTGTAAGAGCGGTTAACATCTTAACTGTTCTTAAACGTGAACATATGATAATTGTTCCACATTAACCGCTATCTAAAGTCTCGATTATTTGAAAAGTGATCGATCATATGAAATAGTAATCGATCATTTGAAAAATTATATATTCTAAAATATAATTTATTTTAATTTCTATAATATATATATAAAGTAAAATAAGTTATATTGTGGAATATAGATTTTATATTATAGTAATTAATATAAATTACATTTTAGAATATATATATATATATATATATATATATATATATATATATATTTTACATCAAAATATATTCAAATAATCGAGACTTTAGAAAGCGGTTAACGCTGGAACCGCTATCATATGTTCACTTTTAAGAGCGGTTGCATCTTAACCGCTCTTAAATGTGAAGATATGATAGCGGTTCCACGTTAACCGCTATCTAAAGTCTTGATTATTTGATAAAGTGATCTATCATTTGGAAAAGTAATCGATCATTTGAAAAATTATATATTATAAAATATAACTTATTTTAATTTCTATAATATATATATATATATATATATATATAAATGAAAATAAGTTATATTGTGGAATATATATTTTATATTATAGTAATTAATATAAATTATATATTAGAATATATATATATATATATATATATATATATATATATATATATATATATATATATATATAATTTTACATCAAAATATATTCAAATAATCGAGACTTTAGATAGCGTTTAATGCGGAGCCGCTATCATATGTTCACTTTTAAGAGCGGTTGCATCTTAACCGCTCTTAAATGTGAAGATATGATAGTGGTTCCACGTTAACCGCTATCTAAAGTCTCGATTATTTGAAAAAGTGATCGATCATTTGGAAAAGTAATCGATCATTTGAAAAGTTATATATTCTAAAATATAATTTATTTTAATTTCTATAATATATATATATATATATAATTTTACATCAAAATCACTAGTGCAGAAAAGGGCTTTTACGTCACCCAATTGTCGTCGCATGTAAAAATATTCGATGTAAATAAAACGCGGTGGCAATTTTGTAAATAAGGGACAAAACTTTTACGTCGCGCCCCCCAGCACGCGACGTAAAAGGCCTTCTTTTACGTTGCGCCACCCAGGTGCGACGTAAAAGAGGGCTTTTTACGTCGCGTGCTGGGATGCGCGACGTAAAAAGTCTCTTTTATTCCCACCCTACCACACTCCCTCGTCTCGCGCAACCAGGGTTTTTGAGAACGACGACGAGAACGACGATAACAGCTGCCTCTGCACACCATTTTCGAGCAGTTTTACAGTGAAAAACATCTACATTGTCGTGTCATTTGACGAACTTGATATTTCTCCCCGATTGGATTCGAGTTTGAAATCATTTTTCATCTACACTCGAGGTTAGTGTTCTATGTCATTGCTATATGTTTACATTGAAATATGCGAAGTTATCACAGACGTCATATGGTATAAACCAAGAAGGAATCATTGGATTACTTTAAATGAGCCATGGTCTTACAGTAGAGGTGGTTATGCAATTGGGATCTATGCACCAGGTCGATGTTCTGAATGGCTAAACCTAAACTGCACTGGTGGTGATTCAGGAACAGAACCCTATTTAGCTTCACATTATCAACTACTTGCTCATGCAACATCTGTTCAAGTCTACAAGAAAAAATATCAGGTTTTTCTTTAGCCTTGTTAGTTGCTGCTAGGGTCCAAGTATTTTACTTTGGCATAACTCTTTCACTTAACATTCCAAACTCTTTACTCAGAAATCTCAAAAAGGAATCATAGGCATAACATTAGTGTGTTTCTGGTATACGCCATATTCAAATCACAAAGTGGATAAAGATGTTGCCAATCGAGCACTTGACTTCATGTATGGATGGTAAGTTCTTCACTGGATTCAAATATTAATTATGACTCGTAACTCAAAAAATCATCATGGTTATCTTACTGAGAATGATTACAGGTTCATAGAACCATTGACATCAGGAAAATATCCAGAGAGCATGATTTCCCTGGTTGGTGAACGACTGCCAAAGTTCTCTGAAGAAGAAGCAAGACTTGTGACTGGTTCATATGATTTTATTGGATTCTGATTCCAATGTCAAAACTTCATGTAAGATACCTTCTTCCATCGTATATATGTTCATCTTAATTTTTTAAATAAATTATATATTTATTACTCACTTTATTTAATATAAATTAATCTTAAGCTAAAATTTAACGTAATACCATGATTTTTTTAATTAGTATCATATTATTTTATAACAATTTCATTTTTTTTTGGGATAGATTCACGCAATGGAATTCCAATAGGTCAATCGGTATGTATACCATCACATCAATTTTTTACTTAATAATAATAATAATAATAATATTATTATTATTATTATTATTATTATTATTATTATTATTTATTTTTATATAACTTGATAATTATACTTGCAGACAGCTTCTGGTTGGTTATATGTTTATCCCAAAGGAATTAGAGAATTGTTGATCCAACACTATCTCTTCAAGAAGCTCTTCTCGATACATACAGAATTGACTACTATTATCGTCATCTCTATTATTTAAACTTGGCAATTAGGTAAGGAATGGTTTATATTTATTTGTTATTATTATATTTAAAGAGTATTTTGTTTGAAAAAATAATTTGAATTAATTTTGTTGACTTTATTTAGAAGGGATGGCGTAAAGGTGAAGGGATATTTTGCATGGTCATTATGTGATAACTTCGAATGGGCTGATGGTTATGTTGGTCTAAAAAGTGAAGGTGAAGGGATGACTTATAAAGTGTTTACGTCGCATATGGTATATGCGACGTAAATTTACGTCGCATATTGGTATATGTGACGTAAATTTACGTCGTATATACCATATACGACGTAAATTTTTTGTTTTTGTTTTTTATTTTCGAAAGTTTTTATGTCTGTTTAGTGGTATATGCCACGTAAAATTACGTCGGGTCTTGATAACTGACGTAAATCTACGTCGGGCTAAAGGGTCCGACGTAAATTTACATCTCCCGCTTTAACGTCAGACTTAAATACGACGTAAAAGCCCTAAATACCTGACGTAAAAGTCCCTTTTTGCACTAGTGAATATATTCAAATAATCGAGACTTTAGATAGCGGTTAAGGTGGAACCGCTATCATATGTTCACTTTTAAGAGCGGTTAACATTTTAACCGCTCTTAAATGTGAAGATATGATAGCGGTTCCATGTTAACCGCTATCTAAAGTCTCGATTATTTGAAAAAGTGATCGATCATTTGGAAAAATAATCGATCATTTGAAAAATTATATATTCTAAAATATAATATATTTTAATTTCTATAATATATATACATATATATATAAATGAAAATAAGTTATATTGTGGAATATATATTTTCTACTATAGTTATTAATATAAATTATATTTTAGAATATATATATATATATATATATATATATATATATATATATATAATTTTACATCAAAATATATTCAAATAATCGAGACTTTAGATAGCGGCTAAGGTGGAACCGCTATCATATGTTCACTTTTAAGAGCGGTTAACATCTTAACCGCTCTTAAATGTGAACATATGATAAGCCGTTCCACGTTAACCGCTATCTAAAATCTCGATTATTTGAAAAAGTGATCGATCATTTGAAATAGTAATCGATCATTTGAAAAATTATATATTCTAAAATATAATTTATTTGAATTTCTATAATATATATATAAATGAAAATAAGTTATATTGTGGAATATATATTTTATATTATAGTAAATAATATAAATTATATTTTAGAATATATATATATATATATATATATATATATATAATTTTACATCAAAATATATTCAAATAATTGAGACTTTAGATAGCGGTTAAGGTGGAACCGCTATCATATGTTCACTTTTAAGAGCGGTTAACATTTTAACCTCTCTTAAATGTTAAGATATGATAGCGGTTCCACGTTAACCGCTATCTAAAGTCTCGATTATTTAAAAAGTGATCGATCATTTGGAATAATAATCGATCATTTGAAAAATTATATATTCTAAAATATAATTTATTTTAATTTCTATAATATATATATATATATATATATATATATATTCCAAAATATAATTTATATTAATTACTATAATATAAAATATAGTGATCAATCATTTGAAAAAATAATCGATCATTTGAAAAATTATATATTCTAAAATATAATTTATTTTAATTTCTATAATATATATATATATAATTTTACATCAAAATATATTCAAATAATCGAGACTTTAGATAGCGGTTAAGGTGGAACCGCTATCATATGTTCACTTGTAAGAGCGGTTAACATCTTAACTGTTCTTAAACGTGAACATATGATAATTGTTCCACATTAACCGCTATCTAAAGTCTCGATTATTTGAAAAAGTGATCGATCATTTGGAAAAATAATCGATCATTTGAAAAATTATATATTCTACAATATAATTTATTTTAATTTCTATAATATATATATATATATATATATATATATATATATATTCTAAAATATAATTTATATTAATTACTAAAATATAAAATATATATTCCACAATATAACTTATTTTCATATATATATATATATATATATATATATATATAATTTTATATCAAAATATATTCAAAAAATCGAGACTTTAGATAGCGGTTAAGGTGCAACCGCTATCATATGTTCACTTTTAAGAACGGTTAACATCTTAACCGCTCTTAAATGTGAACATATCATAGCGATTCCACGTTAACCGCTATCTAAAGTCTCGATTATTTGAAAAAAGTTATCGATCATTTGAAATAGTAATCGATCATTTGAAAAATTATATATTCTAAAATATAATTTATTTTAATTTCTATAATATATATAAATGAAAATAAGTTATATTATGGAATATATATTTTATATTATAGTAATTAATATAAATTATATTTTAGAATATATATATCATATATATATATATATATATATATATATATATATATATATATGTGTGTGTAATTATACATCAAAATATATTTAAATAATCGAGACTTTAGATAGCGGTTAACGCGAAACCGCTATCATATGTTCACTTTTAAGAGCGGTTGCATCTCAGCCGCTCTTAAATGTGAAGATATGATAGCGGTTCCACATTAACCGCTATCTAAAGTCTCGATTATTTGAAAAAGTGATCGATCATTTGAAATAGCAATCGATCATTTGAAAAATTATATATTCTAAAATATAATTTATTTTAATTTCTATAATATATATATAAATGAAAATAAGTTATATTGTGGAATATATATTTTATATTATAGTAATTAATATAAATTATATTTTAGAATATATATATATATATATATATATATATATATATAATTCTACATCAAAATATATTCAAATAATCGAGACTTTAGATAGCGGTTAACGCGGAACCGCTATGATATGTTCACTTTTAAGAGCGGTTGCATCTTAACCGCTCTTAAATGTGAAGATACGATAACGGTTCCACGTTAACCGCTATCTAAAGTCTCGATTATTTGAAAATGTGATCGATCATTTGGAAAAGTAATCGATCATTTGAAAAATTATATATTCTAAAATATAATTTATTTTAATTTCTATAATATATATATATATATAAATTAAAATAAGTTATATTGTGGAATATGTATTTTATATTATAGTAATTAATATCAATTATTTTTTAGATATATATATATATATATATATATATATATATATATATATATATATATATAATTTTACATCAAAATATATTCAAGTAATCGAGACTTTAGATAGCGGTTAAGGTGGAACCGCTATCATATGTTCACTTTTACGAGTGGTTAACATTTTAACCGCTCTTAAATGTGAAGATATGATAGCGGTTCCACGTTAAACGCTATCTAAAGTCTCGATTATTTGAAAAAGTGATCGACCATTTGGAAAAATAATCGATCATTTGAAAAATTATATATTCTACAATATAATTTATTTTAATTTCTATAATATATATAAATGAAAATAAGTTATATTGTGGAATATATATTTTATATTATAATAATTAATATA